TGTCAGATCTGTTCTGTGATTGGCTGTGAGTTGTGTCAGATCTGTTCTGTGATTGGCTGTGAGTTGTGTCAGATCTGTTCTGTGATTGGCTGCAGTGATGTGTCCATGTCCTCTGAGATGTCCTCAGATGGACAGATGGTCCTGTACGGGTCCTCTGATTGGTCTGTTTTGATGTTGTGGTCTGTTGGAAGAGTCTCTGCTGTGATGATGTCATCACTGTGAACACCTGTGAACTGAACAGGTAGTGTGATGTCATCAGTGTGAACACCTGTGGACTGGACAGGTAGAGTGAGGACAGCTGCAGGTGGACTCTCTGAGACAGGAAACAGGTCAGAGTGAAACGTGAGTCTTCCTGTGGGACGCCTGATGATGTTCGATGATGATGAAGGAGGAGGAAGAGGAGGCAGAGAGTGTTTCCTGGTGTAGACACCCTGTCGGCCGTGAAGACTCTGTGACTGTGATGAAGACTCATAGTGATGACTGAAAGCTCTGTTGCTGAATGACGACTCGTCGGACCCCTGTCGGTCACAAAGATTTCACACTTAGTATCACATCATCATTATCAACACCATCACCATCATCATCATCACCCCCTAACCCTAACCCTAACCCAGGATGAAAGCTGAAGTGTTTGGGGCACCATTACCTGCTCAGATTCAACTAAATGCTTCAAAACTCATTAGACGATGCTTCACAGTGCAGATGGACAATGACCTGAAGCATATTGCAAAAGCAACCAAAGACATTGGCAAAGAAGTGGAATGTTCTGCAATGGCCAAGTCATATCATCTGACCTGAATCCAACTGAGCATGCGTTTCTCTTGCTGAAGCCAAAACTGAGGGCAAAACACCCAAAACACAAGCAGGAAGTGCAGACAGCTGCAGTAAAGGGCTGGCAGAGCATCACCAGGGAAGAAACCCAGCATCTGATGATGCCTATGTGTCCAACACTTCAGGCAGTCATTGACTGTAAAGGATTTGCAACCAAGTATTAAAACTGACTGTTTAATTGATGATTATGTTAGTTTGTCCAAATACTTA